ATATATATATATATATATATATAAAGCATAGAATCCTCTACCAGAGGCCTAGTTGCTTGAGGGTTCTGCACAGGATCTTAGTTGTTCTCAGTATTGCGCTCTTCTGCACGGAGCTGTCGGATGTTGTTCCTCGTATCTGAGCCATCCATTCAAAATGTAAAAAAAACCCAAATAAACTAAGAAATCACATGTACGGTTTTCACAGCCTTTGCTGCTCAACTCAAAATTGAGCTCAGGTGCATCATGTTCCCACTGATCATCCTTGAATTCTTCCAGCTGAAATGGATTGTCGTCCACCTGAGGTCAATTCACTTGATTGGACATGATTTGGAAAGCCACAGACCTGTATAAGGTCCCGTAGCTTACAGTTTATGTCAGAGCATAAATCGAGAATGAAAAGAATTGTCTGTAGTCATCAGAGACAAGATTGTCTCGAGGTACAAATCTGGGGAAGGATGCAAAAACATTCATGCTGCTTTGACTCTTCCAATGAGCACAGTGGCCTCCATCATCCGTAAATGGAAGAAGTTCCGAGAGCCGGTCGCCAGTCTAAACTGAGCAATTGGAGGACGGAGTTGAAATCAGGGAGGTGACCGATAACCGGATGTTCACTCTGTCAGAGTTCCAGTGGTCCTCTGTTGAGAGAGGTGAACCTTGAGAATGACAACCATCTCTGAAGCACTCTACCAATCAAGCCTGTATGGTAGAGTAGCCAGACGGAGGCCACTCCTTCGTAAAAGGCACATGGCATCCTGCCTGAAGTTTGCCAAAAGGCACCTGTCGGACTCTCAAACAACGAGAAAGAAAATTCTCTGGTCTGATGAGATCAAGATTGAACTCCTGTTTGGAGGAAACCAGACACTGCTCATCACCTGAGCACTACCATCCTGACAGTGAACCCTGGTGGTGGCAGCATCATGTGATGAAGATGTTTTTCAGCAGTAGAAACTGGGAGACCAGTCAAGATCGAGGGAAAGATGAACGCAGCGATGAAAACCTGTTCAAGAGTGTTCAGGACCTTAAACTGGGACGAAGTATACCTTCCAAAAGGACAACAACCCTTAGCACATAACCAAAACAACGAAAGTGCGGCTTCAAGACAACTCTGTGAATGTTCTTCAGTGGCCAAACCAGAGCCTGCACTTGAATCAGATCAAACATCTCTGAAGAGATCAATGATGGCTTTGCAGGGATGCTCCCCAACAACCCGATGGTGCTTGAGAGGTGCTGCAAAGATTAATGGGTGAGACTGCCCAAATATAAGTGTGTCAAGCTTATAGCATCATATTCAAAAAGACTTGAAGCTGTAATTACTGCCAAAGGTGTATCAACAAAATACTGAGCAAAGGCTGTGAATACTTCATGCGTGTAAATAAATCTTCAAACTTTTCGGGGGAAAAAAAAACCAAAACAAAACAAATAAATCATGTCAAGGGGTGTTGTGTGTATGTAACATAAACATGTGAATACTTGTACCCTGTATTTTGACTCTCTTCATGAAATGAAATGATCAAAGAAAAATAAATTACGATTCAATCCACCCATGATTCTGCCATCCATATCAAATCCAACCCCCCCACCAAACACCAATACTTTCAAGATCATACCATCGAGTCATCCCAACACATCCTCATTCTCAACCTTTATAAAATTAAGAAACACTGAATAGTTTGATTGATCATAGGATGTGAACAGCAGCAAAGTCTCAAGTCAATTCTGTTCTATTGTCTCCCCCTCCTTTGTTTTCCTTTTTTTTTAAACTTCAGAGGTCCCTCTGCAGAGTCATGGTGGACGAACTGAGGGTGTCACTGAAGTGCCAGCGCAGGCTCAAACACAAGCCTCAGCCGCCCGTCATGGCGAAAACGGAGGAGGTTATCAACATGCACACCTTCAACGACCGCAGACTGCCAGGGAAAGAGACCATGGCATGAAATGGGAATCACTTTCTCACCCTCACCTCCGCAATGAGGAGGCATGTAGAGACACTTGGAAGAACCGTGGGGGAAACTGGTAAAAGGGAGGGAAGTACACTTTGGGTTATTTTTGACAATGAGCAGAGAGAGTTGCTTGAGAGTGCATTGACAAGAAGTCATTCGTATTAAAGATTAACTTGGATTCAATAATATTTCCTGTGGAAATAACTTGAGCCTAGGAGAAATTTCAGCTAGTTACCTCATGATTCCTATCACAATAATAAGGCGCAAAGTACAGGGAGTGGAGTTTTAATGGCAGAGGTGGGAATTTTCAATTTTTAACAATGGTGGAATGGACCCTGTCATCGTCATATTAAGTTACTTAAACTGCAGCGGCAACGTGAACATCTTAATCACAGATTTCTTTGCTATGGCCGTAGGTAAATTACATAGAGAGGACTGGAAACGAACAACAAATGTTTTGTCTGTTTTCAAACCTTGATAGAAGGAGCAAAAAGGCTCTCAACTCACGTTAGCCCCGAGCCTCAAAGACTGCAACGAGTGCAGCTGATTTCTATTTGTGTGGGGGGGAAGCATTGTATTTCTTTGTCACATAATGTGTAATTAATTGAGGAAAAAATAAGATCTCATCCATCGGGCTAGAAGTGATATTTAATTTTATTTGTGTTTCAGAGTACTAAAACTTTTAGTCTTTAAATGTAGTGTATGGGAAGGATGCAGAAATATAACCAAAGGATGCATGGTTTAGCGCTGATATAGCAAGCTGTCGAGTTCCATGTATTGTATCCGCCTGTAGTCGTAACTCGGGATTAAATGAAGCGCATAAACCATTACCTTCAATTTAGAGGAATTGTAGGATGTGATTGGCCCAGCTCCACTGATCCACGGCAATCACACGCAAAGAAATTGTATTTATTCAAGTATTTATTGTTTTATTTATGAAATTCTTTGTTTATAAAGACGGGATTTTCACTGCGGCAGCAAATCTCAAGCTCACGTGTGTATGAGTATGCTAAAGTTTCTGACAATATGCTCTGTGTAATGTCTTTTGTGGCTTTTTTTCATTTTCTTTACGACAAATCTAATATTTATGTGCATTTACAATTTGTAAGAAAAGATGTTTTGTACAAAGAGAGCCATCATTTTGTCTTGGTTTTTACCATCATGAGCGTCACCATCAGGAGTGTCATTCATGGTCGTAGGGCAGGGGCGTAGCCATCATTTCAGAAGTGTGGGGGACAGATTGTTCAGGAGTCAAGATACGTTTACAGTTTTCTTGGTGGCTACGGCAGTCTTCAGGCCACCGTAGACTAAACGGGATGGTCGTGTAACCAAACAAAACAAAAAAAGGCTAAAATCCCACAACACACTAAATTTCGGATAAATGGGGTGATGTGAGCACCAGAAAAGCAGTGCAAACGTACCTTAAGACCACCTCTATGAGCAAATGATAATTCTCTCAAGGTTCAACTTCTCCTTAAAAATAACCAAACTGGATAAGGTAAAACACAATGACAGTAAATCTTGAATAGCCAAATAATTAAGGGGTATATTGTCTCAATTGTGCTCAAGTCAGAAAGGGGCGTAGCAACGCACGTTCGTGGCTGCGCAGATGCTCGCGTCATATTAATTTTGTCACTAATGCGCCTTCATGGAATGGACGCACTCTGGGTGGAACGACCGTCAAATAAGGGCGAATTCAGCCTGTCAAATTTCGTCAAGTGCTTATTCTCCCAAAGACTTAAGCACCTTTTCCTCTAAAGCACTCCAGAGGCTGAAGTACGATCTGTCATACTGCACATTTTGATTGATTTCATCTGCAACGGTTCTGTCAATCGGCATCCTTGTGCTGACGCGGAGGTAGAGAGTGGGTGGCGGCGGGGGCACACCTGGCCATTATATGCTCACCGACTGTCCAATGGACATAATGTATCCCTACTGCATTCCGCCGACGGCTGAAACCTTGATATTCGATTCTATTAACCCTTTCATGCACCCTGTAACCCAATAACATGAGAAGATGTCCCTGAAAGATTTAATTGGTGAAAAAGGGGCAGGGCCAGCAGCTTCTTTTTTTTTTCACCTGCAAGGAACATTTCCGAATGCTTGAAGGGGGTTTGGAGTTTGGAATCGGCAACTACACCCATTGTAATCAAGTTATAGATTTTTAATCTTTTGTTATTTATTATTTGATCTCGTGTGGTGTGTTCGGATTTGCTTATGTGTGTTTGATCACGTGTGACGCAGCATTAGGCAATCTGATCAACACCCAATTGCTTTGTACTGGCTCCAAACAGACATTCAGTCTTGAGCATAATACTCAGATTAATTACTTTGATTCGATTTATTAAATACAGAATGAAAAAAAAACCCCACATGCTCCTTCAAAGTAACCTGTTCGATTAGGCGACCGTGACTTAGGAGGTAAAGCGGGTCGTCCGGTATCCATGTCGTGTCGTTGTGTCTGGGGCAAGACACTTAGCCAACTTTGCCTTAGGCATCACACACATCGGTGTATTCACGGTGAAGCATCTTTACGTGTCCAGAAAAGCAAAATATGAAACTGATGCATATTATTATTATTATTATTATTATTATTATTATTCAATGAGCCGTGCACACATTCCTGGCGACGATTAGTATGACGTTCGGATCCACTAAACAATTTAGTTTCACATTGTACGTGAAATATTATCCAAATAGATCCCTATGGAATTCACTACTCATGAAAGCGACACGCTCCCGAAATTAGGGCCGCCCTGGACTTTTAGACTTCAGCAATCCGTGCCTCTTTGGTGGTTATGCATTGTCAGAAAGAAGTCTGGACAGGAGAATCGGCAGGCCTTGAAAATGTGCAAGCATCTACTAAAACGTTGATTTGAGCACAAAGGGGAGAATATGGCCCGACATGTCTAATGGCAAGACTGAACACAAAAATTTGGTTAAATATAAATCTATTCAGCAAATTTATTGCACTCAAAGTAACAGTGAATGAAAAGGTTTTGATGCTTTTTTTTCCATGTGAATACTGTACTGATTGCTTTAGTCCTCCATGAAATCAGACCAAATGGCTTTTAGCAAAGCAAAACTTTCATGGCCATCAGCTTAGACTGAAAACTCATCAACATTAGCTGACATTTTTGACAATTTGAAATAGGAAACACTAATACCACAACATAAGAAACTACGATCAACATAACCAGAATAAGTACATGCCAACATGAAAAATACAGCAAGGTTTTTTGACCGGCAGCAAGCAATGTGTTTGTCTCACCTGCTGTCCACGTGATTAATCGTCTGTGTAACAAATGTTGAGGATACATTCAAGCAGGGCTTGACATTAACGTTGCTCAACAGCCACCGTGGCTCAAGGTTTTCCAGAGTTACTACTCACTTGACATTTTCACCAGCCACAATTTTGTTGTGGGAGGATAAGGGTTTTGCACAACTAAGTTCCATATTCGGTCTAACAGGTCTGACATAAAAATAAAAAGAGAACCAAAAACAAAATGAAAGTGGGAAAAACTTCCTGTCCAAGTACCGTTCATGCATCTGATAATCAGTAGACTAACTTGACATTTTCACCAGCCACAATTTTGTTGTGGGAGGATAAGGGTTTTGCACAACTAAGTTCCATATTCGGTCTAACAGGTCTGACATAAAAATAAAAAGAGAACCAAAAACAAAATGAAAGTGGGAAAAACTTCCTGTCCAAGTACCGTTCATGCATCTGATAATCAGTAGACTAACTGCTTAAAAACCGAGCATTTAGCACCTCCACAAGCGAGCATTCATTCTCCACTGTGAGAAATGCGTTTTTTGACCACAGGCGTACAATGCTCCATAAAATAAAAGGCCCATTTTGTTCAGCTGCTATTTGAGGGATGTGACCCATCCGAGCGAATGGACACCATCATCGCCGTCACATACAGCAAAATGCCCAGAGTATACCATATCAACTCTTCTAAAGCATGAGTTTCAATTTTAACTAATGTCTGCCGTGGAAATAATTGTTTAATATTGAATGTGTG